TATTATTATTATTATTATTATTATTAATTATTATTAGATGTTGTTGTAAAATATGTTGTATTATTTGTTTATTTAATTATTTTTTATTTTTTTATTTATTATAATAATATAATTATACTACTACTACTGCTACTACTACTACTACTACTAATAATAATAATAATAATAATAATAATAATTATTATTATTATTATTATTATTATTATCATTATTACTATTATTATTATTATTATTAATAATATTAGTTGTTATGAAATGTGTTTTTTTTATTTTTGTTTTTCATTTTATTTGTTACAAATGTATTATTTTATCCATTTAAAAGTTTTATTTTGGGGGAGGGTTAGTATAATAATAATAATAATAATAATAATAATAATAATATTATTATTGTTGTTTTTGTTATTATTATTATTATTATTATTAGTTGTTGTCATTGTTGTAAAATGTGTTGTATTTTTTTTTTATTTGTTATAATTATTACTGTTATTATAATTATTTTATCCATTTAAATATTTTATTTTGAGGAGGGTTATTATAATAAATTCCTTTTCTTCTTCTTCTTCTTCTTCTTCTTCTTCTTCTTATTATTATTATTATTATTATTATTATTATTATTATTATTATTATTATTATTATTATTATTATTATTATTATTATTATTATTATTGGTTGTTGTCGTTTTTGTGAAATGTGTTGTATTTCTTTTTTATTATTATTTATGTTATCAATTTTATTTCATCTATTTAAATATTTTATTATGGGGAGGGTTATTAAAATAAATTATTATTATTATTATTATTATTATTATTATTATTATTATTATTAATAATAATAATAATAATAATAATAATAATAATAATAATAATAATACTGGGAATAATAATAATAATTATTATTATTATTATTATTATTATTAATATGATTATTAATAAAATGAACATTGTTTTTGTTGTTGTAATGATTGTTCATACTATTAATGAGAGTAATTGAAGTATTTTTAACTACAATTAATTGTTAATTGTTATTTATTAATTATTATTAATTATTATTAATTATTAATATTTATTTATTTATTTTTTATTTTAAAAAGATAAAATCGTTTCAAAGAAAAGTTCAAAGTTATTATATATTGATAAAGTATTTTGAAAAAAATCTTCTCAAGTTTTAAAAAATTGTATGTACAGCCTTTCAAAACGAGATAAAATATCTATATCTAAAAAGCTTGTTATGATTTTATGTTGACGATAGAAATTAACTTTGACCTTAAATTTATATTATGCATGTTGCCTGAGATCGATTTCATTTCTGCTAATATGAGAAGACAGGAAGTTAGCAAAACATTTAAAATAATGACACAAAATTACATATTCATATGCATACCTCCAGCTCCGCCCACATTTTAGCAAGTATGAATGCAATTGTAAGTGTTAGTGTTCTTTTGCCTGTTCTTCTGCATATGTTTAGCAGCTTTGCACATTGTCTGAATGAACCCATTATGCTGTGCAAAGATTCCCAGACTTGGAAAAAATCAAATAAAAGGACCTCAGAGCATAATGCGAAAACCTGGAAACATCGCCGAACTGACTCCAAAATATCCCAGCGAAAGTGTTTTGCACAGACACGACCGCCTATTTGTAAAAAGATCTCTTTTTGAATTAGCCTCATGCCAAACGTTTTGAAACAGAAAACGCTTTCCACATCTGAAATCTCATGAATTGCAGATGTTTTCGCACAAGCGTAAGTACACTGACATGCGAGTGCTGGATGTTTTACACGTTCTCCGACGCCAAGGACACCTGCTTAGATTTGAGGACAAACATGGCAAAACTGCATTAAATTGTGAGTTTATTGCATCATTGTGTGTCTGCTGGCGTCCTTTTTTGTGAGCGGTGGTAATGAATTCATCCACTTTAAAAGACTTAGCCTCCGTTGCTTTTATATGCGCATAATGGTGCAAAAGTAAGAAGAAAAAAAAAAACAATTGCAAGCTTTAGTGTCTGTACTTTTTGTTCCATCTTGTTCCATCAGAAAACCTCTGCCAGATTAAGGAGCTGCCAGAAACATGTTCCTGAATCAAACTGATAGAATTAGATTTCATCGAATTACATTAGCGTTCCCTTCCTCTGGTCCCTACTGATGGAAATAAAGCAACAGGCAGCGACTCATGGCGATCTTCTGCCTTTGTTTTCTTGGCACAGGACTTTTATGATGTAGTATTTTATAGTGTGCTTGTTTCCCAAGAATTGTTTTGTGAGCTTTGAGTTGAATTTGATGGACTCGAGACTCTAGAGATGGCCAGAGAGAAGCAGGTCTGCTTTTATTGGAGCAGCTGTTACTGTACCTTCAGTCCAGTCCAAAGTCATGATTTTAGAATTGAGTCCTTCTATACACACAATTGACCTCTGTCATCATGAACTTTCGGTTAAACTATCCATCTATATATCCATCCATCCGTCCATCCATCCATCCATCCATCCATCCATCCACCATCCATGTATCAACACATCCATCCATCCATATACCAATCCATCTATCCATCCTTCCATATATCAATCCACTTACTGTCTACAGACATCAATCAGTCCATCCATCCATCTATATATCAATCCATCTATCTATCCATCCATATCAATACATCCGTCCATGTACCAATCCATCTACCCATGCATCCATATATCAATACATCCGTCCATCCATATATCAATAGATCCGTACATATGCCCATCCATCCATCCATCCATCCATCCATCCATCCATCCATCCATGTATCAATACATCCGTCCATATACCAATCCATCCATCCATCCATCCCACCATCCATCCATCTACCCATCCATCCATATATCAATACATCAGTCCATCCATATATCAATAGATCTGTACATATGCCCATCTATCCATCCATGTATCAATACATCCGTCCATATACCAATCCATCCATCCATCCCACCATCCATCCATCTACCCATCCATCCATATATCAATACATCCGTCCATCCATATATCAATAGATCCGTACATATGCCCATTCATCCATCCATCTATCCATGTATCAATACATCCGTCCATATACCAATCCATCCATCCATCCCACCATCCATCCATCTACCCATCCATCCATATATCAATACATCCATCCATCCATATATCAATAGATCAGTACATATGCCCATCCATCCATCCATGTATCAATACATCCTTCCATATACCAATCCATCCATCCATCCCACCATCCATCCATCTACCCATCCATCCATATATCAATACATCCGTCCATCCATATATCAATAGATCCGTACATATGCCCATCCATCCATCCATCCATGTATCAATACATCCGTCCATATACCAATCCATACATCCATCCCACCATCCATCCATCTACCCATCTATCCATATATCAATACATCCGTCCATCCATATATCAATAGATCCGTACATATGCCCATTCATCCATCCATCCATTCATGTATCAATACATCCGTCCATATACCAATCCATCCATCCATCCCTCCATCCATCTATCCATCCATCCTTTCATATATCAGTACATCCGTCCATATGTCAATCCATCCATCCATCCATCCATATCAATCCATCCATCCATCCATCCATATATCAATCAATCCATCCATCCATCCATATATCAATCCACCCATACATATATAAATCCATCCATACATCCATCCATATATCAATCCACCAATCCACGCATCTATATATCAGTCCATCTATCCATCCATATATCAATTCATATATCTATCCACCCATAGATCAGTCTATTTATCCATCCATATATCAATCCATCTATCCACATATCAATCCATCCATCCATATATCAATCAATCCATCCGTCCATATGTCAATCCACCCATCCATATATCAATCAATCCATCCGTCAATATGTCAATCCACCCATCCATATATCAATCAATCAATCCATCCATCCATCCATCCATCCATCCATATATCAACTCATCTATCCATCCATCCATCCATATATCAATCCATCCATTCATCCATCCATCCATCCATCCATACTGTTTATCAAACTATCCATTCATATATCTATCCATCCATTATCCATATATTGTAGCCATCCATCCGTCCATTCAACCAACCATCTATATATCTATTCATTCATACTGTATATCAATATATCTATCCATTCATACATCAATTTATCCATATACTATATCCATCAGTCTGTAAATCCATCCATCCAACCATCTATCCTACCATCCATCCTACCATCCATCCATACTGTATATTAATTCATCTATCCATCCACATACTGTATTTTATCCATCTATCCATTTTATCCATTTATCCATCCCTATGTCCCTATACTGTGGCCATCCATCCATCTTGCACTGTATATCAATCCATCCGTCCATCCATCTGTTCATCGATATTGTATCAGTCCAACCATCCATCCATATATTAATCCATCTATCCACACGTACTGTAGCCTTCCATCCATCCATCCATCTATCCATCCATCCATCCATCCATGCATCCATTCATTGTCTGTTTATCTATCTATCCCATATATCAATCTGTCTGTCCATCCGTCCAATTTCTTTTGTTCCGTTCCGTTTCCTGCTTTCTTCTCTTTCTGTTCATCCATCCATCTGAGTGTATTTCTTTTTTCTATCATTCTTTCTTTACTTCTATCTATCTATCTATCTATCTATCTATCTATCTATCTATCTATCTATCTATCTATCTATCTATCTATCTATCTATCTATCTATCTATCTATCTATCTATCTATCTATCTATCTATCTATCTATCTATCTATCTACCTATGTGAGTGTATTCATCGCATGCATAATCTTTTTTCATTATTCAGTGTAACGATAGGCTTCTTTTTTTTCTTTCTGTTTCTCTCATCGCAGCCACCTCTCTCTCTCTCTCTCTCTCTCTCTCTCTCTCTCTCTCTCTCTCTCTCTCTCTCTCTCCCTCTCCCCATCCTACCTCGTTATCCTCAAACGGAGGCGCACGTAGTCCGTGTTGTCCGTACAGTCACACACACACACTCACACCTGCGGGAGGAGTTGCGCTGCGGAGCGGAGCGCTGCGGGGCGTGAGACCGGCTTCGCTCACACTCAACTTGGGCATCATCACCATCAGCGCCCGCGGATAACGGATCTGTTCGGGACTACATCCAGCCACGATGTCCGACTTTATTTTGGTATTTCTTACTATGTCGGGATTAATTCTGCTGGCTAAAACGCTGACAGTGGCCGGGGCTGAGGAAGGTAAGACAAAATCAAACTACGCTTTGTTTACTATTTTTGCGCGTTTTAGCATGTTTCTGTAAAAATTGTTAGCACAAACTAAGAATACAATAAAAGTTTTGCGCGTGATGGGAAATATCTATCTATCTATCTATCTATCTATCTATCTATCTATCTATCTATCTATCTATCTATCTATCTATCTATCTATCTATCTATCTATCTATCTATCTATCTATCTATCTATCTATCTATCTATCTATCTATCTTGTGTAACTTGACGTGTTTAAAAGCAGCACCTGGCTTACTGACTAATCAATAATCATGTTAGTTAAGTGCTTTGGTGAAGTTGTATGATGAAAATTGTTTAACCAATAGTTAAAGTTATTTTAACCTATTATTAATACGTTTGACCTTTCAAACTTCGATGGTTTATTAATATTGAGGTACTGTTTTCTTCAGAGATGTAAAGTTCTAATAAGGTCAATTTGTGGGGTTCTAGAAATCTACATTATTTTCTGCATATGATTTATTTTACTTTATCATTTGTAAAACATTTAAGGTCTGTGTTAGATAAGGAAAATTACAAAATGTACAGTTTTTCCTTTAGGATATCAGACTTGACACCCAAATCCACATTTTTAACAAATAACATACAGTTGTTAGTGGAACTTAAAATCTTTTTTTTTCATTGTTATAATCAGCTGGTTTAAGCAGTGTCATTGTTTATAAAATCTTATTTTTTTATTTATTTTTTTTTTGTAAGGAATATTGGTTAGCTTTTAAATGCAGCATCATCTTTTTTTTTTTTTTTTTTTAATTAGAATATTGTATTGTATATGTGTTGGACTGATTCAGATGCGAGGGTTACTGAATTTATGATTTTTTTTTTTCAAAGTTAATGACAAATTAAGTTCAATATAACATCACACTTTTTTCAAACTGGCAATCAAACACAATTACCTCAAATAGATATTTAATTAACTCAGGTTCAGTCTGAAGCGCTTCAAAATGGTTTTATAGTCACAAATTATTTTTAGCTATGGATATAAGATTTGCAATTGAAACTACTCAAATTCCCTCCATGAAAATCAACCAGTAGCAAATTACCCCACTTTTGAAAAGAGTCAAATACTCTAAGTCTAATTTTTATACTTTATCTTTTGAGAACTCTTCAAAAAGTCTTCAAAAAGTAATGAAGTATCATGATTTCCGTCTGCTAGTTTCTGTAAACTGGTGAAATTGTCTTTTTAAGCTAATTTGTGATCAAACACTAATAAAAGCTTTAATCATTTTCTAAATAATACTTTGTAGTCTAGTTTTCATACCTTTTTTTTTTCAAAATAACTTGAGGTTTGATTTGTAAATGAAAAATAGATGTATTTTTTTTCCTGTTTGAGAAACAAACAGTACTCATTAGTGAAAATGAAAAATCATTAACGACTATAGGGTTCTTTAACTGGCAAACACACACTCTATAAAGTACCAGGATTAAGCATATTTTTATAAATGTTTCACTATGTGAATTGTAACAGAGCAAATTGAGGTCAATGTCAGTTTTATACTTAATACTTGAAAATATCCTTCAGAAACACTTCAAAAAATGAATCATAAAAAAAATGATCATAAATATATTTCTTTCTGCCAACATCCTCTAGTTGCTGAAAACATTTTGAATACCAACACTGACCATGTTTTGAACTGCATTTATTTCAAAGGTGGTAAATATGAGTACCTTATAGTTGAAAATATAGGCATAGTTCACCCACCAAAAATACTTCCTATTGACTTTCCCTCAAGTGGTTTCAAACCATCATGAGCTTCTTTTTTTCTGCTGAACACTAGTTCAGAAGATAGAAGATAGTTTGAATAAAGATAAAAAAAAACCCTGTGACTATTGACTTTCATAGTATACATGGAAATCAATGGTTACAGGTACTCAGCATTTTTTGAAATATCTTCTTTTGTGTTCAACTGCATAAATAAACTAATAATGGTTTCAAACACATGAAGGGTGTGTAACAATGACAAACTTTTCTTTTTTTGGGTGAACTTAGCCTTTAATTTCAAATATAGTAATACATTCTCTAACAAATGAACATATATTTGCAAAATATGTACCCAGTTAGTGATTCAGAAGAGGGTATATTTGTGTAAATATAGTTTTGATATTTGTACAATATCCTTAGTTATGGCGTCACGGTGGCGCAGTGGGTAACACAATCACAGCAAAAAAGTCACTGGTTTGAGCCTCGGTTGGGTTAGTTGGTATTCCTGTGTGGAGTTTGCATGTTCTCCCTTGCGTTGGTTTCCTCCAGGTGCTCTGGTTTCCCCCACAGTCTAAAGACATGGTGTAGGTGAATTGGGTAGGCTAAATTGTCCGTAGTGTATGTGTCTGAATGAAAATGTATGGGTGTTTTCCAGTGATGGGTTGCAGCTGGAAGGGCATCCACTGCAAAAAACATATGCTGGATAAGTTGGCGGTTCATGTGGCGACCCCAGATAAATGAAGCCGAAAAGAAAATGAATGAATGGATGAATCCTTGATTTTATACCTTTACTATTTAACAAATATCAAGTATAAAACTAACATTCTCTCAGATTACAAATATCACTGTTGAAAATTCTGAAGAACATGGTCAGTTTTAGTACTTTTGCAGTGTTTTTTTTTAAGTAGAGAAATCAATTATCATTACTTTAAAGAAGCACATTTGAATGGTTAACATCAAGTACACAGTATAAAACTGAAATAGTTCTGCAGATGCACCAAAAGCAAGTCAAAAATTGGTCAGTCAAATAAACATAATAGATTGCAATCAATTGATGAACATTTTCATGGAGAATGATTGACTGATACGATCAAGTATTAATTATAAAACTAATCAGCAATTCCAGAGTTATGGATGTGCAATTCGCAAAAAAAAAAAAAAAAAACTCAAAATCACGTCACAGCCATATCACCCTGCAGCCCAAGACCGGTTACTCACTGAAGCTAAGCAGGGCTGAGCCTGGTCAGTACCTGGATGGGAGACCACTAGGGAACACTAGGTTGCTGTTGGAAGTGGTGTTAGTGAGGCCAGCAGGGGGCTCTCAACCGGTGGTCTGTGTGAGTCCTAATGTCCTAGTAAAAAGTGAAAGGGACACTACACTGTCAGTGGGCGCCGTCCTTCGGATGAGACGTTAAACAGAGGTCCTGACTCTCTGTGGTAATTAAAAATTCATGATTGTTCATGATTGGGTGTATGGCCATACACAATAAATGCGCTATAAAAATACACATTACATTACATTACAGAGAATCTATTTGTTAACAGTATATTAAAACATCTGTTTATATTTATAATAAATAAATAAACAAACAAACAAACAAACAAACAAATAATTAATTACAAAAGCACAAGATGAGGCATCCAAAAAATACCAATCTGAAAACCTGTTTTATATTTTAACTGAGAGAATAATAATAAAAAAAATGTGTTGGGTATATGTTACCTAAAAATATGCGAGTTTACAGTATACATCAAGCTTTGTAGAAATGCAGTGAATTAAACGTCATAAACTTAAATAAATAGGATATAAAATAAAAGGATAAGAGTTGTCTCTTTATAGAACAAAAAGATTTATTTGATTTAAGTGAATTGTTTTGCATTTATGAGGAAATAGCTTTGTTATGCATGTGACGTCTATGCGCTATGCATGTGACTGATGCGAAATTGGCAACTGTGCAACTTTTTAAATCAAATAAAGTCACTTGAAAACATAGACAGACATTTTTGAGTATTTATACAAGTTTCCACAAACAACTTAGAAAATTTTTGGCTGATTTGGTAAAAAAGAAGATAAAATATTGCATGGAATTGCTCTGATATTTCTGCCTGATCTCGCAAGGAAACGTAACTATTTTATGTTTTGTTATTGGTTAATTCATACGAATTTGTTCAGTCCTACGAAAAAGTATGATTTTTAAAAAGGAGGCATAGCATCCAGCCACGCCCTTAAACCCAATTGTCTTTGGGGGTTGAGCAAATCCTACTAAATTGTTCTAATGAGATCATACAAATTTATACGAATTAGCCACTAAATCAAAAAGGTATGCATTGCCGTGAGATCATGTTTGATATTTAGCTGGAATTGCTCTCTGTTGGATCAGCACTTAAACAAAAATGCAGTAAATTTGGTACCTAATACTTTTAGTGTGTTTGCCGTTTTTCAGTAGACAGAAATTTCTTTATTATTTTTTTTTCATAAAGCATGTTTAAAGTATATTCTTCAAAAGTTGATCATAAATAGATCTCTGACACCTTTATACTTCACCTTCTCTAATAGACAAGTAACAAATGACCTTAATGTTGCTAGATTTTGGCCAATTTGTGATCCGACCTCTTTAAAAATGCCTCACAAAGACTTCCTGACTGTGTTTCAAAGCATAAAAGTTCTCGAAGGAGCACAAATGTCGGTTTGTGCACAACATTCGATTTACTGTCCCTGTCGAAATGTACACTTGATGTAGGGTTTGTTACAAAGGGACGGTGTGTTACTCAGTTTATTGAGCAGACATTCAATAAACTGTTGACAAAATGTGGTTACCCTAAACAAATCAAGCACTGCAACAAGTGCAGCTCCCTAAGGGCTCCATTACTGCCAAGCCAACACACTAATGGCCTATAGACTGAATACTTAGTGTGGGAAATGTCTCTCTGTCAGTGTAATGTTGGCTGGATATTTTCTTTCGGGTGATGTATCAATCTGTCGGAGAGAAATATGGCATGTTATTAACGGTTTGCATTCGCTTTTTGCAGTTTGTGATTGTGGAGTTGCACGACTTTCATATCATCGGGCTTGTTTGTTTGTCTGCCAAGTTATTAGTTGATAAGGGTGGAAAAAGTATATTCACCATACTCTTTGGACATTTTCTAATAAATTTGTCATCCAACAGAAGGTAAATGTGTTTTTTGTTAATAATATTCTTCAATACTTATTCATGAAAAATAATAATTTAATTGATCACCAAATTTTTGATA